CATGTGTGGAGACCTGAATCATAATGAGGTAGACTTGCAAGGTCTGGGGTAAGAGCACTGCAGAGGGAACAGGAAGTGCAAAGGCCCTGAGGCAGAAGCCAGCCTGGCATGTGTGGCTGGAGTATAGTGAAGAAGGCAGAGCAAGGAAGGGGTTGAGATTGCTTAGTGGGCTGGGGCCCAGTCATTGGTGGGGTTTGCGAACCTGGGTAAGGTCTTCGGATGTTATTTATGGGATGCCATTGGAGGGTTTTAAATGAGTGATGTGAGCTGATTTACATACACGTGGATCTGTGGTAGAAAGGCTGGAGGGGGCAGTAGTGGGGGCAGTAGTGGGAGCAACGGCAGCAGTTAGGAGACCAGGGCTACAGCTGGAGTGACAAGCAGTCAGACTCAAGCAGAGTGCACAGGTTACTAACATGATGGCAGCTGTGCAGATCGGGGCCGCAGGAGTCACACTGACCCATTTTAAGTTTGAGATTTCCATTCGTCGTCCATGGGGCTGTACCTCATGTCTGGGGTTTGAGCTGGAGGTAGAGATTTGGAAGTCACCAGGGATGCTATTTAAAGTCTCGGGAATCTATGACATCTGGGGACTATAGAGAGAACTGGAAGCCTGGGGTGTGCTTGGGCAGGCTGCCATCTATCTCAGGAGAGCATGTGGGATTAGATTTGGGATTAGGGAAGCCACTGTGGGGGGTGGTATGGAAACATCTGGTCAGAAACTTCTGGGCTTTCACCAGGAACCAGAGGAAATACTTGGCTTTGGTGAAGTTGGTATCTTGGGAAAAAGTGATGGCCAACTGACTACAGTTTCCCCATAGATCACCCCGGCAAAGAGATCCAAGCTAGCCCTGCCCCAAATCCTGCACACAGACACACACACACACCCTGGCAAAGGTAGTATTTATTTCCAGGGTGGGATCCCTGCTTCCAGACTCTGAGTAGTATGTTTATCGATTAGACAAAAGGTCAGCAAACTTTTACTGTAAAGGGCTAGATGGTGACAGTTTTAGTCTTTGTGGGCCATAAGAGCTCTGTTGCAACTACTCAAATCTGCCATTATACGTAAAAGCAGCCATAGACAATACGTAAGTGAATGAGCATTTCTGTGTTCCAATAAAGCTTTATTTGCAAAACCAGGCAGCAGGCTAGATTGGGCCATAATTTGTAGACCCTTGCTTTAGGCTGTAAATTTTGCTGCATGTGACAGAGACCCAAAATAATAGTGGCTTAAATAAGACAGAGATTTATTTCTTTCTTACACAGCAGTATGGAAGTAGGCTGGTATGGTGGCTCTGCTCCATGAAGTTGACCAGAGGCCCAGGCTCCTGCTATCTTGTTGCTCTGCCATGCCACGTGTTGCTCTTGTCCTCATGGTCCAAGAAGGCTGGATACCACATCCATGTTCCAGTTAGAAAGGTAGAGGAAAGGCGTGTCCTTTTTCCAAGCTTGAGGAGCCTACCCAGGAATTTAGCCAGAACTCCAGCCACATCTAGCTGCAAGGGAATCTGGGAGATGTAGTCTTTTAGCTACCGTGTGCCTAGCTAAAAATTGGGAGACAGCTATCAGTCTCTACCACTTCCATCTCAGCTGTGGGCTTTAAGAACATCTCTCAATTCCAACAGTGTATTATCAGCCACTGACTCTCAGAGCAGGGCAGGTAACATAAGGGAGTAAAACTGGCCTGGTGGTTCTCATCTCCAGTCTGAGGGTGACACTCGCTGCTCAGCTCCAGCTTGCTGTAGCTTTTGCCCTGCCCCTGCTGACAATGTAAGCCTGGGTTGGGCGTTTCAAGAGAGCTGAAAATAGGATCTTAACAGAAAAAAATCTCCCAATGTTGGCCAAATAGAACATGAAACAGAAGGTATCTCTGTTTGATTCCAAACCAGTTTCCCCACAAGGCTAGGCCAACTCTGTCCTGAGCTGCCCCTCCTCCCACACCCTTATGTTCTCTGGAAAGTCCCACTCAAAAGCCAGAGCTTCCTGCTTAGATATTTTAATATGGATGTTTCTGTTTTTAGGTACTATTCCTGTTAGTTTATTTATGTCACCTCACCTACATGTATAAAAAATATTCCATGACTTAGAATGACACACAGAATTATTTAAATGGGGCGTAACTTATCCGAGAGGCTAGTGCCATCCAATGCCATAGCCCCTCTTTGAGTGGGGAAGGCTGGCAGGGGGTGGGAAGAAGACAAGGACTCAAATTACAACCCTCACTTGATTTAGGGTCCAGCTCCCGACTTTGCTACTCCATCCCCATAGGGCCAAGTTGCTGCTTGTCTGGAACTCCCCCGAGACATTACGGGCCAGCAACACCTCGCCTTCCCTGCCCCCACTTCAGGCACAGATCCAGGGCAGTTTGCTCCTGTACCCCATGACATCCATCTGGGAAGCATTAAATGTGATTACACAATCTGCAGCTAGTTGTTTCATTGGGAATGAGGGAGATAGCAATCATTTTTCCCTCTCGCTCTCTTTCTTGCCCATTGTTTTTGAAACAAAAGATCTTGTCTGATTTCAGTTTCCTTAAAGACGCTGTGTCCTCCAAAGACTGAAGCTCTAAATGAGAATCCTTTGGGTCCTATTAATCAGAGAGCCCTCTGCTTTCCCAAAGAGGGAAGCAAATCCCACTGAGGCCCCCAGAGTTCCTGTGCCCATACCGTGGTGGGTCCTACCAGCCACAGAGTTCCTTATCGCCGTGGAGGGGGCTCACGCTGCACTCAGAGCTCACCCCGGGCATGCCGAATGTAGTGTTGATGCAGCCCTGCTTCCTGGGCAAAGTCCTGACCACACTCGGTGCAGGCAAAGGTACCAGGACGGGCGCGGGCCTCGTGCACCTGGCGGTGTCGCCTCAGAGAAGCAGCCTGCCCAAAGGTCTTGCCACAGTCAGGACAAGGGAAGGTGGGCTGGGCAGTGGTGGGCGCAGCCGGTGGGGAGGGCCTCGTGGCTGGACCATGGCCGCGCTGGTGGGCGATCAGGGCCTTGGAGGAGGGGAAGGAGCGGGCACAGGTGAAGCAGACGAAGAGGGCCCCCTGCAGCTTCTGGGCCACGAAGTCCGCTGGGTGCTCCCGCTTCATGTGACGCTCCTGGAACTTGGAATCTGCGAAGGTGATGAGGCAGCGGGTGCACTGCAGGGCCCCCAGGTGGCCTGAGGGATGTGGGGAGAGGTCGGGGGAGGCCAGCAGGAGTCTCTAGGACCTATCCCGAGCCCCAGAATCACGCCAACAATTAACATTGAGTGTGCTCTGTGCGAGGCTCTATGCTAATGCTGGACCACGGTACGGGAGAACTGGGGAACTGTTATTGGACTTAGTTTACGGAGGAGCAGACTGAGGCTGAAAGAGGTCAGGAATGAGGCTAGTAAATGACACGGTAGAGCCAGGATTGGACACCAGAGCATCTGCCTGTCCAACAGAGTGGTATGGCGGTGAGAGCACAGCCTCTGAAGCCAGGCTGCCTGGGACTGAATCCCGGCTCCACCACTTCCTAGGCAATTACAACAGTTTCCTCATCTGGAAAATGGGCTAACAGTAGAGTTGTTGGAAGGAATTAATAAGTTAATTTGTATAAGTGCTTAAATGGTACTATCCAGTGGTTTTCAGTTATTGCTACTGAGATAGAGAAAAGCAGCCTGACATCCGGGATCTGGCCTGGCACTCACAGCTAGGCCTTGGTGTTCTTGGTGTTTATGTTGAACATAAACAATTTCACAGAATATTAATGACAGACAAGGCCATTGCGGTGACTAGAATGAATCAAGAAAATAAGACTGGCCGGGCGCGGTGGCTCACGCCTGTAATCCTAGCTCTCTGGGAGGCCGAGGCGGGCGGATTGTTTGAGCTCAGGAGTTCGAAACCAGCCTGAGCAAG